ATTCATAGCAGCATTATTCATAATAGTCAAAAAGTGGAAATAATCCAAATGTCCATCAGTTGATGAGTGGATAAACAAAATGTGGCATATTATGACATAATAAAAAATACATTTGGTTTTTGTCCCCAGTTCCTGGCATAGAACTTCTAAAACTCTAGAATTTCCAGAGCGTATATTTTGTTGTTCTTTAGAGACCCTTTTTTAAACCACACCTTTGCTTATGCTAATGAGATGATTCTGGGTGGGGTCCACAGGCTGATAGCTACTAGATTGGGGCTGGCCACCAAAAAGACAAAAGTTGTAATTAAAGACTGGAAATTTCTAGCCCCATCCCTGCACATTTGGGCTGGAGATTGGGCTGTAAAAACTCTTGAACAAGGAGATTCTGAAAACTTCTGGGCTGGTAACTACATTGAGGTGCAGGAAAGCTGCTTTACCTGGAGAGGGCATGGAGGCTCCCTGCCTTATCCTCTATACCTTATGTATCTATTTGCATCTCTTCTGTTTGCCTATTCATTTGTACTCTTTATAATAAACCAGTAAGTGTAAGTAAAATATTTTCTTGAGTTCTTTAAGTTGTTCTAGAGAATTATTGAACCCAAGGGAGGGTGGTGGGAACTCCTGTATTTGTAGTTAGGCTAGCAAAAATTTTAGCATCCTGAGAAGCCCATTTTAGGCTGTCATCTATGCTGAGGCCAGCCTTACAGAATGAGACATTAATCTATGGGGTTTATGTTAACTCAGGAGACTTAGTGTCAGGTTGAATTGAATTGTTGGATATTCATTTGGTGTCTGAGAACTGGTTGTTGCCAGTGTGAAAAAATGACAAATTTAGTGTCAGAAAAAATCCCACAGAAGTGGTATCAAAAAATACTACACAGATATCCAGACAAAGGAATATTATTCATATATAATATATGCTACAACATGAACTTTGAAAATTCTATGCTAAATAAAAGAATTCTGAAAAAACAGGCCACATATCGTGCGTTTCCAAGTATATGAAATGTCCAGAACAGGTAAATTTATAGAGACAGAAAGTAAATTAAGAGTTGCCAGAGACTTGGGAGATAGGGGAATGGGAAGTGACTGCTAATAGGTAGAAATATTTCTGAATTAGATAGTGATGGGGGCCATACAATCATATTGAAAACTCTGAATTGTGGACTCTAAGAAGGTGAACTTTATGGTATGTGAATCATATCTCAATAATGCTTTGTTTAAAAAGTGTAAAAACTATTTTTAACTCAAGAACAATGCAAAAATAGACTGAGGGCTGGATTTGACCTGCAGACTGGAATTTGCAGATTTCTGTTTTAGATGAAAAAAAATTGGAAAAATAATTTAAATTTCTTCATTTGTCCCAAGCCCTATAAATGTAAAGGTTGGGGGGTGGTCTTGAGTAAAAGCTAATCTATTTTCAAACTTTCTTGAATTTTCAAAATGCCTAATACACCCTCTAAGCTTAAGTCCTCTCTTAAGTCCCCCTCCAGAGCTGGTAGGTGGTCCTTCTCTTACCATTGTTTTATCTGGTTCCACACAATGGGGGAAGGTGTGAATGGAGGTGTGTGTGGGGGGGTGTCCTGAATAAAATATCTGAAACACAAACAAACCTTTCACACTAAGAAAACCAAGAGCACAAACCGGAAGCTTTTATACAATTACGTAATTATGGTGGTGATGGTGAACCTTGTAGGTGGTTATGGATGGGGGAGGCTAGAATCCTGATGCAAATAATTGTGGTCCATAGTGAGATGATTATCAAAAGGGAGATGTTTGAGAAGAGCTCCTTTTTGCTAGCAATTTTGCTATTTTCTCTCAATCTTGAGTTAGTCTGGAAAATGAGTCTCTGCCAGGGTCTGGGCAAGTGGGAGTCTGCAGTAATATTTAGAGTTCTATTTTGTGATTTTATGGAACTGCTGAAAAGGTCAAGAACATTTCTTTAAATGTCAATGGCCTGAGGGTCCAATTACCCAGGGGAGGACATTCTTGGAAGAGGAGCTTTGTAAGTCTGGCAGAATGGTGTGGGAGGAACTCAGCAACTGGGGAGCAAGGAGTGGCCCCAGGCTTCCCAGGGAGAGGGTCCTGGGCAGAGCAGCAGTGGGAGGAAAGCTTTTGCAGATCTGTTGGTGCTTTATCCCCTGGAAGGCCCTTAAAGCTGCCTTCTCTGAGCGGGGCTCACTGCCTCTGCCACCCTTCTTGTGAGGCAGGGTATCTATAGGAATCCGAGGAGCTCTGTGTGAACTGGAGGGGGTGCACCCTCCTCCCAAACTCCAGACTGTGAAATCTTCAGGGTCCTTCGTGCAGATCCCTGAGACTGATAGGGAAAGACCATACAGTCTATTCCTGAGCAGATATTTTCAAAATTAAGTGAATGTAGGAAATATTTAATTTAATATATTTTTCTCTGCTGGAAAATGTATTTAAAATATATTAATATTTTATATTAAAAATGCAGATGTCTGAGACCCACAAGGAGCAATTTGAACTCAAAGATCTTACAATTAACATTATTATTATTTTTTAATAACGGGGAGGGATGCTATCTTCATGGGCCTTAGCTTGTTAAAATACATATTCTTAGGCCCTCAAACCTACTGAATCATAGAAAGAAAGGGGGTGCATGGAAGGAAGGGGGTACATAAGGAAGGGGGTACAAAAAGGAATGGGGATGGAACCCAAGAACTTGTACTCCTACAACATCCCCAGGTGATTTTGAGGCTGATCCCTTCATTTGCCTGAAGTATCCTTTGCCCCTTTGAATCACCTCTGCAGAAAACGATTTCTCTTTTAGCACCCAGGGGGGCAGCAGAATAACAGGGCTTAGAAAACAGACAGATCTGGGATTGAATGCTGGCTCTGTTCCTTCAGCAGTATGACCTTCAGCAAGTGACTTAATCCCTGGGCTTCCATTCCCTTATCTGTAAAACAGGGTACTAAATGCCCACTTTAGTGGTCATGGGAAGGATTCAATGAAAAAGTGAATACTAAAAGACTATGCCATGCCTGGCACACATAACACAGTGACTACTACTAGGCCTCTGGGAGCTTCAGACAGGGCTTTAGGTCAGGGTCATCGGCTTCCCTCTGCATTCAGGTCTGGCTCGTGTGTGGATGTGTGTGCTTGAGTGATTTTATGTGTGTGCCATGCCTTCAATCCTCCCAACACATTGCCTCCTCCATCACTACTACACCTGCCAGCAGGTGCTCAAGGATAGTAGCCTAAACATGGGGAGGTGCAGCTGGGAGATGTCAGTGTCCTTACCCCATCAGGGCCAGCTCCTTATATAAGCTGATTTGTTTTGTTTTGTTTTTTTTTTAAATATTTATTTATTGATTGATTGATTGATTGATACATACATACATACAAGCACTGGGTACAGTCAGAAGCGCAGGAGGGTGAGAGAATTCACCAGAGACAGAGCGGGGAGCAGAGCAGGCAGAAGGACCGAAGGACACTGCTGAGGGGAGCAGCGGGCGGCAGGAGAGGTCTGCGCGCCATGTGGGACCCTCCTCTGGTGGCCGGGGAGCAGCCGGGGATCAAACCGGCTCAGCAGAGGCTGCAGGCCGCTTCGCAACCCAGCGCTCAACCACTGCGCCACCGGGGAGGCCCTGATTTGTTTTGTTTTTAAAGTTATATTTGCTGAGGTAATATTGATTTACACCACAGTGTATATATTAGGGATATAGCTTTACACCTCTACAATTACACACTGTTTCACCACCCTACCATCAAAATCTCAGTCATAGGTCATACTCCATTAGACCCCCCCTCCCACTTGCTCCCACCCCACCACCTCCCCATTCTGGTAGTCTTAGTCATAATCTAATATGCCCTTCCCATTTCTGTTTTCACCCCTCCTCCTCTCCCTCTCCCTGGATTCCTCAGATCTATGGGCAACTTTCAAGATTTGTCTTTCTTCGACCTTTTGTTTGGTTTCTATGTATTCCACATATAAGTGAAACCATCCTGTATTTATCTTTCTCCTTCTAACTTATTTCACTTAGGATAATCCCTTCCAGCTCCATCCATGTTGCTATAAATGACATGAGTTTATCTTTTTTCATTACTGAGTTATTCCATTGTATACAGACTGATATGAACACAGATGTAGTGGCCCCTTTGGATCCTATGTTCAGGTCTTTCCTAAGGCCTGAAACATTTAGAAGCTCAAGCTACCTCGAGGTAGACGCAGTCAGTGTCCCATGCAGAGTCTCCTTTCTCTCTGATCTTAGGTAAAGTTCTAGGAAGCCAGTCCTTTTCCTGTGAGGCCAATGCGAGCCTAATGTCCTTCACCGGGGACTCAGCCTTTTCCAGGAAACAGAGGGCTGCCCAGCATTGACCTGAAGGGATATGTGTGGGCTTAACTGGGGAGGATGGACTGAAGTTCTGTCCTTAAGCCTGAACCCCAGGAGCCTGGGACTGGAGGACAACCCCCCCCCCCACTCTCCTCCTACCTACCACAAATAGCTCCTGCTCAGATAGTGATCTTGATGTTTGAAAAAGGAGCTGAGAAAACTCTGTGCCTTGGTGTGGCTTTTTTTCAAGCTGCCACTTACTGCCTTGTGCCAAGAACTTACATCTACCATGTCTTTCCCCCTATACCTCAGCCCTCTGGGTAGGTAGCATCATCTTCTCCATTACAAGTGAGGAATCAGAACCCCAGAGATGCTGTCTAAGATCTAACAGGTAGTAAATGATGGCCCTTAATTCATACTCAGGTATATCAAACTCCAAATTCTGGGTTCCCATCTTTACCAAGAAGTGAGGATGCTAGGAAAAGAAGGCAGGGTTACCAGGGCCCACATCTGGAGTGACAGGTGAGAGTAGGCTATGAGTGAGGACATCAGGTCCAGAGCTGTGGATGAGGGAAGGAAATACATCCAGCTATCTGAGGAAACACATCGAGAGTTGGTATTTACCAAGTTTCTCTAACAGAACCTGCAAAAAATTCCACAGTCCTCAAGCTGAGAAAGCAGATATCTACTGATGTATGAAGCCTCTAAACTTCCAGAGAGATGCCCCGCTCCATTCTTCTCATAAACTGCTCCTTCCCCTCTCTTTCCATGGGGGTCCTGTGGGGGCCAGTCATTGTGAAAGTCCCTCCTCTGGCCAGAGCTGACTACTCCAGGGACAGACCTCAATCCAAGCTGAGCCAGTCAGACTTCTTCCCTGCAGCTTTTTGAACTGGTGCTTAGATGAAGAGCCCATCTCGCTATAGAAGCTGAAGTTGGGAAGGGTGACCTGAAAGAAGTATAAGAGTCTGATCTGAGAGAAGCAGAGCCAGGGCTGGAGGCATAAGGAGAAAGAAGAGACCTGGCAGCATTTTCAACTTGGGCTCAGAAACTCCTGAGGCCCATGGTGTCCCCACTCTCCCTGGTTGGTTGTTCAACTTCTCTTTTGCTTGGGATATACTTACCAGTCTCGCCTGATTCTGACTGGCTCCTCAAGGGGGGCAACCCGCTGCCACCACATCTATCAATAAAGTCCCTTTTTTTGTGCCCAAATCAGTATGAACTGAGTTCTGCCCCTTGCCCCAAGAAACCTGACCAATCCTTCTCCTTGCTATTTCTGCTGCACAGGGAGGATGCAGTCAACATGCTCCAAAAGCTGGGGCAAGAAGATCAAAGGGAGAGCCCAGGTGCCAGATGGTGACATGGGGCCAAGTGTATGGGAATCTCAGGCCGAGAACAGCTGCCCCAGCTCTGGGCTGCAGAGCCCTGGTCAAAAGCCAATCTTCTGAGCCAGGCTGGCTCCTTGCACCCGAAACAGAAGCCAAAGAGATTGGGCTTAGAGGTGGCTGCTCTAAATTTGTCATCACTCGGATGCCTGAGCCAGAAATGATGCCTTTCTTCTGACCTGGGCAGCAGGGCTGACTTTCAGGGAATCATTGTGAAATTCCCTGGGCTTCCCTGGGAGTCCAGGGCCCAGCCAGGTCCTTCTTGGAGCCCCTCAGCCAGGCATTCCTCAGAGCCAACATGGATTAAAGAGGGAGAAAAGGACAGGAGGCACAGACAGGGAAGGGAGAAGAGAGGTTCTACAGGAGGGGAGAAAGTGGGGAGACTATGAAGAGGAACCTGCAGAAAAATCCATCTTTCTTTATTTCGTCAGCAGTTCCCAAGGGGTGCTTCTTCCCCTTTCTTCTTCCAGCAGATACCATGGGCTTTATTTTCCTTTCAAGAGAAAGTTTTTCTGCTCAGTTGGAAGGCATGGTGGGGATTGAACAAGACCCTGGAAAGGTCCTAAGTGGCCCCTCTCTCTCTCTCCCCAGGGAGTTCTGGTCCCCTGGGAGGGAGGGGAATCTTAAAGGATCTCGCTCTAAGGATAGAGAGAGCTGGACTCTGATTCTCTGCAGCTGGTCTTTCATGCTGGAGATGCAGCTGAGAACCTGGGCCTCAGTTTGCTGCCTGTAAAATGGTTGGTGTGTAGCTGAATAGGATCACCTATTAGGTTGGGGTTCTCCTGCTGAGAGTTCAGAGCAGGAAAGGAAACACTGCCTTGCCATCTCCCACACACCCACTACCCTCTGCCGATTCTCCTTTTGGCCTACAGTGGACTTTCCCTTGCATTGGCTCATGGGAGGGTCGCCAGAGTCCTCAGAGGAAGGTCAAGCAATTGTTATGTCTCTACCTTCCTGGAAGGATAAGCAACCAGATCTGAAGGCTCACTTTTTCAGATGCTCTCAGCACACCCCCAAAGAGCTGAGTTCTGCCCACTGTACCCTTATGCTTTCCCTGGTAGCCCTGTTTCTAACTCTGTGTCTCCCTGCAACTGGGAACCCCCACCTAATCACACCTTTCAGCAAGCTCTTCTAGATTTTGTTGTGTACTAGCTTTTCACATTTATGCTTCCAATTCTTTAACTAGAATGAGCTGGCAGAAGTCCAAAGCTGTATTTCACTGTTTCTCTGTTCCACTGTGCTCCGTGCCCTCAACCCTTGTCTCTGTTTTTTAGAGGCATGTTTTATTTATTTATTTGTTTGTTTGTTTGTTTGTTTATACATGCACTGGGTACAGTCAGAAGCACGGGAGGGTGAGAGAATTCACCCGAGCCAGAGCGGGGAGCAGAGCAGGCAGAAGGACCGAAGTACACTGCTGAGGGGAGCAGCGGGCGGCAGGAGAGGTCTGCGCGCCATGTGGGACCCTCCTCCAGTGGCCTGGGAGCAGCCGGGGATCGAAATGGCGCTGCAGATGCCGCGGGCAGCTTCGCAACCCAGCGCTCAACCGCTGCGCCACTGGGGAGGCCCAACCCTTGTCTCTTTCCCTCCAACGGCAGGCTCGGCCTCAGACACAGTGGCTCTCTGAAATGCTGGGAGAAAGCAGGCTGGATGGCAGGGCTTGCTGTGCTGCAAGAGCTGCGTGGGGTCCACTATATCCCCTCTCCCTTTCTCTCTGGCCTCCTCAAACACCCTGGAGGACTCTTTGAGGCACATGGAAAACTGGCTAACCCTCAGGGTTTTGGTGGGGTAGGGAGAGAACAGGAGCCTGTTCATTAAAATTCACATCAAGAGAAATAACTAATCAGAAGCCGTTTGTTGCTTAATTGATTTTAAACTTCAGGAAGATTTCTCATTAGCCTAGGGCTGACCTCGGCAGAGCAGCCCAATTGAGAAAGGAAGAATAGAGGAAGGAGAGCAGAAGCCCCTTCCCCTGCCAGCCTGTTTCTACTCTCCAGTTGGGCAATCAGAAATGGTTCTGAGCATCTTGCATCAAAGCCAAGTTCTTATGCCTTTGAAATCCATTTCTTCCTGCTAGTCTCCCTCTTCCAGGAAGTCTGCCCTGACCAGCCAGGGGCATGGAACCATGTGGAGTGTGGGAGGGTCGGATCCCCAAAGGAAGAAATGCTATTTTTAAAACCCTGTGGAAATCATTGGATGCTCACTACTCCCCTTTCTTACATTGGGCCTGACTCTATTCCTCAGATAACCTTCAGCCCAATACCAGTCCTATCTCTGTCCTCCTGGCCTGCACAGAAGAAGCCTGGTCACTCAGCCATAAGAAGAGTCCCTATGACCTCTCCAATCTTCTTTTCTTCAAGCAAAATAGTTTCTCCATAATTCTGAGTAGATGGGTTTCCAAGCCCCTTCCTCCTCAGCTCTTGGGCAGAAAGCAGCAGTCTGGTGAAGTGGGCATGGGAGCCTGGCTTGAGAAGTAGTCATTGGAATGCCGGTGAGAGAAAGGGAATCGGATATCCCTTCATGCTGGTTGCTGACCTCGTACTTCCTTCAGCCACACAAGGTGTGTGATCACTGGAAGGAGCTCTCTCTTCCGGTTCACCATGCTGGGATAGCATGTGCCAACAGTTGTTGGCTGCCTTCTTCCCAGCCACAAGGAAAGACAGAGCCAAGAGTTGCAGAGGGAGAGAAGAAAAGTTCTGACAATCTGGTTTGGGTCTCTAGAGTCCTTAAGGTCACCTCCACTCCTTCCCTTCCCAGTTTGTTAGGTCAATAAATTCCCTTTTCTGATGAGCCATTTGAGTTGAATTTCTGTCACTTCAACTCAAGGAGTTCCTGACTGACGGAAGGACTTTCTCGCAGCCGGAGCTGTCCAAATGGGGGCTGGGCTGTCTCAGGAGGCAGCTGCTCCCCCGGCAGAGCTGGACAACCTCCTGCCAGGGACACTGGAGAGAAAATTTGGATCCAATGTGCCAGATAACAGAGAACATTTATCAAGTGCCAGGCGCTGACTAACCATTACATCAGTCAATCCTCATAACACCCCTGTAGGGAGGCATTGTATCCCCCAGTTTCTAGGTGAGGAAACAGGGTATCAGAGGGGCTCATTAACATGTCAAGGCAACAAAGATCCAGGGTGTCATGCAAGAATTTTTTTTGTCTCTAGGACCTGTGCCTCTTCCTGTAGCTCAGAGATTCGAAGGACTTCTGCTCCCACCGAACCTCAAACTCGGCCCCCTCTGGAGGGGCAGGTGTACATCTGGTGTCTGCAGTCAGCTCAGCAGCTCCTAAGTAGGGCAGTCAATAGAGGCTCGGTGCTGTGTCTAGGTGAGCAGAGAGGCACACAGCTCCAGCAAGCTCTGGGGACAGCTGCCTGCAGAAGCATAGGAGTGGAAGAAACCCAGAGGAGGGAGGGGGCTCTCTCAGGAGGGGGCAGGCGAACATGAAGTTCCTTTCCTCCAAAGACCTGTGAGGAGCTTTTCCTGTGTCAGATGCTTTTGGAAATCTGATGGAGCCCATGGACCTTCTCCTAGACACAAACATATGTGCAGAAGTATGTGATGTTTTGTGCACAATTTCAGAATCTTCAGAGAGTCCTTCCCCACCAGAGAAATGCATGGGACCCCAATAGCCCAGCTAAGAACTTCTGATCAAGAAGTATATAAATGGCTCAGGGGACTGCTCCTGGCAAGTGGGCCTCCCTGGTGGAGCAAGGGGTTAAGACCTATGAAACTATCCCCAACCACTGCAGCAAGAGTTTGATCCCCAGCCGGCTAGGGAGCAACCCACATGGTACAGCAGACCTATCTTGCAGCCCGCTGCTCCCCTCAGCAGCATATTTCAGTCAATCTGCCTGTTCTGTTCCCCACTCTGTCTCCTGTGAATTCTCTCACCCCCCACACTTCTGGCTTGTACCCCATCTCTTCTATGCATAAATAAATAAAGTTTTTTTAAAAATGTGGATTTGCCAAAGCTGATTATTTTAACCAGCAAGCCAGGTTGGGGATTGTGATCAATGTTTTTGTCCCTTTTCCCTTAAGACACTGCCCCCCAGCATTTGCTGACCCACACCTCCCTGACCTCCATGGTGGCTCCTGCTCAGGGGAGGTTGGAGGGGTATCTGATGAACCCCCACAATCTGGGGAGAGGGCAGCTGAACAGTTCCATATCACTTCTCAGTTACATCTACCCCAAGCTGCATCCCCATTACCTTGTCAACCAATCCATCCTCCCCCAAGTTTTGTGAGCTGCAGAGTGAGACCCATGGCTATTATTCCCTCCAGGACCCAACAACTAAAAAAAATACTCACAAAGTGAGAGCTAGAACTGTATGGCCAACAGATAAACCATGTGTGGCCATTTAAATTAAAGTGAATTAAAGTCAAATAAAATTTAAAACTCAATTCCTCTACCAGTGCACTAGCCACACTTCACACACTCAATAGCTGCATGTGACGAGCAGCCCTGCATTGGACAGGGCAGCGACACATCGTTCCCATCACTGCCGAGAGTTCTGCTGGACAGCACTGGTCTCAACGGACAGATTCTGGACAAAGACGTAGAACCACAGCTGGAGTTAGGCTGCCTCCATTCACATCTGTATTCTTCCATTTGCTAGCTGAGGATTTGGGGGAATCTCCTCACTTCTCTGCATTCAGCGTTCTCTTTGAAATAGGAATGAAAACAATGATACCTGCTTCATAGGCCTGCCGTGGTCACTAGACAAACGTGCGACACTTCAGTGTGGTGTCTTACACATGAGCCGACAGCTTATATAGCTCCAGTTTGCCCCTGCAGATTCACACCCTGCTCTTCACCCTTGTCAGTCCCAGGAGCTAACCTTTGTGGACTGCATCAGTGGCTCCTCGCCCTCTGGCTTCTGGTTGGACCTGCCCATTGGAAGGCACCAGAAAAGACTAGAGGGCAGGGAAGAGAGGTGTGGGTATTTTCTCTGTGGGGCCCCCCTTCCAAGGCCCTGAGGGTGAGCTCTGTGCCTCTCTGAAAAGCCACAACTTCTGTGAGGTGGCCTTCTCTGGAGAGCTCCTCACTCCAGTTTCCACTATTTGTCCTATTAGGCCTGGAAGGGTGGGGGGTGGGGTAGCTGCTTTCCCCTGTTTCTCAATGGGGTACTGTTCTGTCCCTATTGAATTCCCTTTTTATATTGTTTTTAGACAGTTTATTGAGATTTCCTCCATGATCTGGTGTGAATGCCCCCTCCCTGTCCAGGTTAGCAATCCTGCTAGTACTAGAAGGAGGAAGAAGAGGCTCCTGGAATGTTCTCTCGCCCTCTCTGTCTCTACCTCTAAACTTCTCCAGAAAAGATTGCATTGCAGAAGCTCTCCAAATGAACAGGCTGGAAGAAATGGCTGTGTGGGCTGAGGAGGCAAGAGGGATGAGTTGTTAAAGAGGTGGCCAGTCGGCAAATAGGAGGCTCTAGAATGAAAAGAACAGAGAGTGGTGCTGGCGAGGATGGGAGGGCCTGCTCCATACCATCCCCACCCCCCCCACACTCCCTCAAAAGGACAGTAGGTCCTTTCCTTCCCAGGGCCTCCTTTCGGAGCCTAACACCCCCTCTTGAGCCTCCCCACCCCATCTGAGCAGCCTGTCACGCCTATCTGTCCCCTTGGCCTCTGAGGTGTGACTCTTATCTGGAGGCCTGAGACCCTGGAGCCAGCGGCACTGTCAGGCAAGGAGACTGAGTGGTGAGGGAAAGGTGTTGGGGGTGGCGGATGCCTCTGGAAAGGCTCAAAGAGGGATATGGGGAATGCCTACTTCCCACCCTAAGCTCCCCCCAGGCTTCACCCCGAGTTGGGCTAAGTATTCTCCTCCTCTGGGCACCCAGACCTCGTTTAATTTCCTGCCTCCTCTTTGGCAAGGCACCATCTAGTGTACCGCTGTGTCACCAGCACCTAGCTACTCACTTGGCACGTGGTAGGTACTAAGCATCGAGTAGGTGCCCAACCAATATTTATTTATGAGATAATTGCCCCCCCCAAACACACCCCAGGGCATAAGGTTCCCAACCACACTGGCAAGGAAAGGCTGGGAGGCAAGAGGCCTAAATCTTGCTTTAAATCCACCAACGAGTAGCTTGGGACAATCCCTTCTGTTCTGGGACTTCAGTTTTCTTATCTGAAACTTGGACTCAATTGGACTTGATAATCTGTAGACAGACTTCTGAAGTCATGACTAATACACAAATGATTAATACATAAATGATTAATACATAAAAAATTTGGATCACACTCACAAACCTTGGCATCTCAGCCTTTCATTTTTACTCATGGCCAAGCACCATAGGTATTTTTATCAACATGTCCCTAATCTAAAAGAGTGTTTCATCTCATCCAGTCATGTAGCCTCTGTGCCTACAAAATTAGGTAATTGATTCATTCACTCTCTCACTCCCTCACTCATTTGTTTATTCAACAAATATTTATGGAAGGCCTATCATGAGTCAGAGATGAATCGTATGTTTCTTGCACTGTCTGTGGGAAGCTCAGCAAGAGCTAGCAGAGCCCAGAGATGGCATGAAGTCTGCACATGGGCATGAGGGGGGCGTCAAGGGCTCCCTTCCCCCATCACCTACCCTCCTTCACTCCTGCTGTCCAGCAGAGCCTCTGTCCTGGGGTAGATATCCTTTCTGCACTGGGCAGAGGTCTGGATGTCTGACAGGCTTCCCGAGAAGCAGGTGGTGATATCTGATTCAAAAGCTGGAAAGAACTGAGGACAATTGAGTACCCAGACCTTTCCATGTGACCCAAAGGAGACCCACTCGTAGCTACCAACTATCCCCCACCGCACGTTAGCCCAACCTAGGTAGGAAGCACCATTAGGTTTGTCTGCAGCAGGTTGACCTGGAACAAGTCTTCTGAGCCCAGAAACTGCCCCAAGAGCTTTTCCTGAGTCAGACTCACTGAGACATGGAGGATGGTCCAGGAACCAGGCCGGGATGTGGTGCTCACGATCCAGTTCATCCTGGAACACATCCAGTGCCCTGATTAGAGTGGGAAAGGTCTTTCTCAAAGTCCTAGGTTCTGGTCTGGCCATGTGCCTTTCCCCCAATTAGCCATAGAAGCTGACTCTAGCAGCATCCTCTCTCATCAGCAGATGTGATGAGATGAGATGAGATGATATGAGACTACCCACAGTAGTCTGTGGGTGCAACCACTGATTCGTGCAGAGCAGCAAACAGGTATTCACATAACCAGTCACAGCCACTGCAAACCCTGGGATAGTTCAGCCTTTCTTCATTTGATCTTAGAAATAAATGGGCTCAGGGTAGGCTGCAGGGTCAGGAGGAGAAGGAAGTTTCATTTATGTCATCTGAACTGAAGGTGTCAAGGGTGGAGGGTGGCCAGTGAAGCCCCAGATGGCAATATGCTGGCAGCTCCGCCTGGAAATCTTCCCTGGGTGACCATGGAGCAGCCTTGGGCTAGGTGCTAAATTTGGCCAGGTTGTTTTCCCTTTGCAAAGGGAAGCTACTGAGCACACTGGAGTGAGTGCACCCTCATGCGTAGGTCCTTTGGTAGACCCTTCCTTCAGGCTCAGGTGAGGCCCCCGGTTGCTTGGCCATCCTTAAAAAAAAAAAAAAACTTACTAAAAAAAAAATACAAACACTTTGTAGAAAACTTAGAAAATAAAAGTAAATAAAAAAAAAACACCCTTAATTCCACATTCTACCACCCAGAAATAGTCACTGCTAACTGCTATATATTCCTACAGTCTTACGTCTGCCCATGTGTAAACACATCACATAGTCTTTTTAAAAACCTGAATGAGTTTATACAAGTTGTCCAATTAACACATCCTGAATATTTTTTCATGTCATCAAATTTATGTTTACATTATCATTTTGAATGGCCATATACTCTTTTTTTTTAATTTTTTTTCTTTTTTTTTTATAGAGGCATGTTTTTATTTATTTGTTTGTTTGTTTGTTTTGTTTATACATGCACTGGGTACAGTCAGAAGCGTGGGAGGGTGAGAGAATTCACCAGAGCCAGAGCGGGGAGCAGAGCAGGCAGAAGGACCGAAGTACACTGCTGAGGGGAGCAGCGGGCGGCAGGAGAGGTCTGCGCGCCATGTGGGACCCTCCTCCGGTGGCCGGGGAGCAGCCGGGGATGGAACCGGCGCTGCAGAGGCTGCAGGGAAGCTTCACAACCCAGCGCTCAACCGCTGTGCCACCGGGGAGGCCCTATGGCCATATACTCTTAAATGAACCTGTATTATCAAGTTGGGGCATCAATAAGATAAATATTTCACAAATATTTATAATAACCACTCAAGTCTACCCGAAGTAATAAGAAATATCTCTTTCTTGGATCCTTCCTCCACTCTGGATTGTTGAAGAAGAATCCGGATGGAAGGAGGGCCAGATGCAAGAGCACCTGGGCCTCTGATTAGCTGTGGCTTCTGCTGCCACTCCAAGGGGGTCTTTGTAGAACCTGGTCCTGCGCAGTCTCAGCATCTTTGTCCATCACAGCAATGTCCTCACGGATCCACATTTCTAAGGGATTTCTAAGGTAGTTCTCTTATGGACCAAGATCCCAAAGTCTTTGCAGCCCCAAACCAATACTAGTCAGAGCCTGCCAGCTACAGGTTGGCACTGAGTGGGGATAATCCCTGGTGGGTAGGTGACCACCAGCAGACCTCCTTCATAACCATCTCAATCCATCAGAGAGAGCCTAGTCATATAGCTCCCCAAAGGGAACGGATTAAGGGTTTCTAATCCTTTCCTTTTGAGGCTCTCTGCCCCATGCAGATATTCTCCCACGCTTTTCAGTAATCATCCTTGAGATGTTAAATGAGTTCCCTTGTTTGTACCTCAACTTTTCGTTGGTTTATGGTGCATTCTTTGATTTGCCTCTCATATAAGGAAATTTCCTTCTCTTCTAGACTAGAACTTTCCTTCTAGTCTCCTGAAGGTCGTTGATATCACTCTTTTCTGCTCCTCTATCCCTCTTTATATTATTTCTTCCGTATCCTATACCTCCAATCTCTCCCTTTTCCTCCCCAGACCATCTCTCAAACCTAGAAAACCAACAGACTAATAAACCCTCCTACTACTTTCATTTCCCTCCAGCTATGATCCGACTCTCTCCTTACGTCTCTGGACAAATTTCTAAAAAATCAACCTACTCTCACTGCCTCGACTCCTCAACACATACACAACCTGGGCACTTTGGCCACTGACCATTTTCTCAGAGGTCACCGCTAACTTTGGTTACCAGTGTCCTGGTTTGCCATGAATAATCCTGGTTTATCCCTATTGTCCCAGAATCTTCTTCAAGTGACGCCATTTCTACATTTAGTGAAACGGTGTTCTTTCCACTCACCAGCCACAATCAGCTCAAGCCATGAGTCCATCAAGCCAGTCTTCCCAACCTGGCCTCTAGGCCAGCAACACTGGCCTTTAGGGCTCTGCCTTTCCTCAACTTCCCTCATCCCCCGGCTTACGGAGCCCCTCTCTGCTGATTTCTCACATCTCCCTTTTGCGTGCCCTCGCATCCCTTGTGTTCACAGCCCTCCCCTCAAATGCTGTAGCTTTGCAGGTTTCTGTTCCTCTCATTTAGCATTTACTCTCCCTCTGAATTTCATCCACACCCACTGCTTCAGCTCATCATGCCCGCCTTCGCCCTCAATTCAGTGCAAATCTAAAGACTTCTGGGAATCATGGTGGCTTAAATGCAGGTTTACAAAGCCACCCTCCCCAAACTTGACAGAAATGAACAAAAAGAAACAAAAATGAGAGAAAAGGCTGCACCAGGGCTGAAATCATAGCATGATTCTTCTCAAACACAAAAGAAGACTTAAATAGAGACAGGCTCCTCTTGGAGGGGAAGCTGCCATGCTATAAAGATATCTATTTCCCTTAATTTATAAATTCAGCAAATCCTAATCAAAGTACAAACATGATTTTTAACACAATCAAATAATTTTATAGTTAATCCGGTAAGAAATAAAGAGAAGAATTCTAAAAGAGAGAAGCCATAGAGAAGAGAAACTCCATTTTCCTTTTTAAAGAGATGATAGTATGTCAAGGTAGTTTTTGTTGGGGGGGAGGGGATGGTATAGGAATAAGAATAAGAAACAAGTTAATGGAATACATATAGAATCTAGAAATGTGTATCTGCATAGAGAGAGAAATTTAGTGAGGAGAAAAGAAGCACGCGCTAATAGAGGACAGATGGATGATATATATAAGTGAAAACTTATTTGCAGACAAGAAAATTTAAGTGAATATTTCTTGAGGTGAGGAAGAGCCCTTTAAGTGTGCTATCTAGGTTGGAAATCATGAAAGAAAAGGTTGATATGCTTTGCTATATAAAATTTTCTGCATGGGAAACACTCTATAACAAAAGTTAAATAACAAACTGGGGGGAAATGAATATTTGTAGCAATAAATGATAGAGAAGGGAATACGCTCCTCAGTATAGAAAATGTGCCTTCAACCATAAAAAAGAGGTAAAAACTGAATGGAAATGGGGAAAGGGGATGAACAGAGCTTGCAAAGCATTATTTGCTTCATCAGCCACTCTGTGTAAAGGCAAGGCAGGGAGTTGTCAGTTAGAGGAGCAACAGAACACAAATGCTATCAGACCCTCCCAGTCTGTGACTATAAATAAAGTTCCGTTGACATCCATAATGCAAAGTTCCTGCTGTTTCTCTTCTTGCACCTACAGGACCTCTGCCCTCCTCCTCCTCCGCCACAAGTATTTCTGGGAGTTCCAAAAAAGGAGCACACATATGCTGAACCATCACCCTGTCAGCCACAATCCCCATATGGCTTCCCTGGAATTCTGCCTTTCTTGTCCTAGTTCAGAGATGGCTGCCAGCAAAGCTACCGGGACGGTGACCTGTGTGTGACTCCTGCTTCGAGAAGGTGTCCCTCTCCACTGCTCCCAAAGCACCTTTCCTTGGAACCAGAGGCTCCAGGTCCTGAGTAGAGGTGCTCAGTGACTGGCCTCTCTGCTACCACTGAGAGAATGAGTCCAACTCAAGAGGAAGAGGAGACAGCAAGGAAAGATGAAAGGGCTGTATTACTTTCCTCTTGTTGCTAAATCTAATTACCACAAACCTGTTGCTTTAAAACAATACACATTTATTCCCTTACTGTTCTGGTGACCAGAAGTCTGAAAGCAGTTTCACTGGGTTGAAATTAAGGTGCCAGCAGGCTGTGCTCCCTTCTGAGGAGGCTCTAGGGGAGAATCTGTTTCCTTGCATTTTCCGGCTCCTAGAGCTGTGCTACTCGTATTCCTCGGCTCAAGGCCCCTTTGCTCATCTTTGGAGTCAACAACGGAGCCCCACCCTCCACAGTCACCCTGCCTTCTCACTCTCTGTCACCTTCAGTCTCCTTCTTATAGACACTGTGATGTCTGGAGGACCTACTCAGATAATCCAAAGCAGTCTTCCAAGCTCAAGATCTTTACTCACATCTGTAAACTTTCTGTTGTCATGCAAGGTAACAGTCACAAATTTCAGGGATTAGGACCTGGCCATCTTTGGTGGCCATTGCTCAGACTGCCACAGGGTTAGATATCTTTTCATCATCCTTTCAACTGCTTATCTCCCTTCCTCCTAGCCCCAGGCCCTTCACTGGCTAAAGAAATTACCCCCCCCCCCCACATATTTACAGATGCAAATAAATGCTGATATCAGGAAGGGATGTTGTCCACATCAGGAATGTCAGAGTCCAGTCTGGTAAGTCAAGTGCCTGTAACGGGTCAGGTCACCAGTCCTGGGTGTACATGGAGAATTGGTGCCAGGTGAGCGTAACAGAGCTGAGGCTCTGAGAAGCTCAAAGCAGCCCCACCAACTGATCACTAAGATCACCAGCAAAAAGTGGGTTTGGGGCACCAACTGGCTTGAGTCCTCCTTCTCTGGTCCATGGCACCAAGTACTGAAAGCTGCAGCATCTTCTCATTCATCACCTTGACCCTCTATCATCATCACCAGCACTGCTC